TTCCGGCGATGACAACCCCAAAAACATTGGCAGTTTGTGCAATAGCGTCTCTCTACTACTTCGATTGCAATGGCGTCTATCCACTACCCCGACCTTTCTTCTCTCCTGTCGCCGACGGCAAACGTTTGCAGTTTTCCCAAGTTTCTCAGACTTCCAGTCCAAGAACAGTCTAAACCGACAATGAAAACGGATGAAATCACAGATCTGTAATGGACTAAGAAAATAACCACTTGTTCCCTCAAAAATCGCTCAAATAAATGGTAATGACTTCCACATCAAACCAGACGGAGGGGAGAAGGAAGGAGAAGACGATTCGTGGTGTCGGTTTACTCCGCCGACACATGGACCAATGGAATAATTTTGTCTCTGATTCAGACGAAATCACTATTTTGTCTGAATCAGAGATGAAATTATCCCATTGGTCCACGTGTTTGCGAGCGCCAAAATTAAATTCAAATATTTTTGTTTATTTTTTTTAAATACGGGACACATGTCATTATTTTGGTAATTTCGTCTCACTCTGAGATGAAATGCTTAAATAAAAAAAAAATTAGTTTTGTCTGCTTTTATATAAAACTAGTGCTGAGTTGACAAATATTTGCCCCAGACAAGAAAATTGTTTGAATTTTAATTTATTTTGGTAATTTGTTTTTAAAAATATATTATTTTAATCTTTTACCCCAATTAAAAAGGGTTTAATTTCCTAATCTCAATATTCATGTATGGAGAGAGAAAAAGAAGAAACTGAATAAGCATGGAATGAAGTCTATGTTTGGAACAGCATCCTATAGGGAGCGAGGAATTAAGGGGAAGACTAAAACAGGCACAGAATTCCAACTCTGCCAAACCAAAATTTGTCTGCTTGTCCGACACGTTGATTCATTGGGCCAACAATGAGCAGGGGATTGTTAACAAGCAAGTGCATTACAGGTTGCAGAGTGATTTGATTTTAGTTGAAGAACATTGCTATTATCTCTCTTCCATCGTAATCATACACTATCAATATCCCTGTCATGCCCCAATTCATGACCATGTTTTAAATAAATATTATATTTTTTTCTCAATACTAATTGCATATTTTAAATAAGGAGAAGGATATAATTTTAAAAACTTATACTTAATCTTTCATTTAATTTATATCTAATGAGTGGAGTAATAAATTATAATTTATTAAATGTAAATTAAATAAAATATTTAAATTAAGTATAAAAAGTTTTAAATTTAACTAATTTAAAAAATCATATCCCTTTAAATAAATATACAATACTTAAACTATCTTTCTTTAATTTGAGTAAATCAGATTTAATTTTTATTTAAACTAAAACCAAACCACAATATTAATACTGTCCACTACTTTTATCATTACCTCTTCACACGGATTAACTGATCAATTTAGAAAAAATATTTAATTTTAATTTAATTTTAAAAATGAAATAATATGAAAAATATTTTTTATTTCAATCAGATAAAAGTATATTTTTTTAAATATTAACATTTTATTAAAAAAAATTAAAATATTTTTATTTAAAATTTAATATATTTATGATCTTTTATATTTTTTGTTTAAATAACATCAAACCGTTTGCTATTCAGGTCAAATTATTTTTCTTTTTTTACTGTTAAAATTTGCCTTCACATTTTTTTTCTCTTTCTGAACCAACCAGTGCATTAATAATTTTGGATCTCATAAATCATAACTTTGTTTAGCAATCATGTGATTAGCCGTCCTTATTGAATTGACCATAAAAGACAAAACTGTTCTCACCTTCTAGACCGAGTCAATGCCTAAACAGTCACCAATTGTCAAATACAAAGAAAACGCATGCTACGCAGATTTGATTGGATGTAGATGAATTTTATAACAACATTGTTTTGTGATATATGATTAAGAATCTGAATATGAAAAATATTTATCAACGATTATGAAAGAAAGCGCATTAACAATAAGAGATATAGTTATTAATTAATTGTGTCAAACTTTATTGATGAAAAATAAACTATTCTTTAACGGACTAAGAGTGTGATTGAAAATACAATTTTATTAAATATTTACTTACCATTATAGACTCTTTTAGATACTTAGCATTCTCGCAGACTATATATGTATAGAAAGCGAGGTGCATTATAGAATTAAGTGAATTAGGATATCTACATCAATTCAATTTACTAACACTAATGTCTACAATTATTTCGTCTAGTCAATATTCAACGGAATTTTAAAAATGCTATTCAATTTTTGCAAGAATAGTGTAGCAGTCTTTTCATTTTATTTTTGTGTCTCCTTTTAATTCGCTTTTCACTTGTCATTTATCATATAGTTTGGTGAATGTAACACAATGTCCAGAGTAGTGCATCTTCCTGCACTCAGTGGAAGGATTCTGCTTTGGATTTGTTAGGTATTATCTTTTTCCTTCTTTCGTATGCAATAATGATACGTATATTTTTATTAACAAAAGCCCTTCACACATTTTATAGAATTTTATTATTCTTTTTTTTTTATCAATTTGTTTTCTCTTGATATTAGTTTTCTTACCTCAAATACATAAATTAGTATGCTAAGAAAAAAAAACTAGTTTTTAACGGATATTTCAAAAGGTATTTAACTCATTTTCAAAAAATTAAAACAAGTTGATAAGAGATAAAATTAAATAGAAGAAAATAATGAAAGATAACAAAATATAAAATAAATAAGTAAAAATATATTATTTGAAGCGACAAGAATAAAAATATATATATATTTATCTAATATATCTTCTAATAACTCTTGTTTTTTTCTCTCCTCTCCATGTTTCCATCTTATTAACGAAACTTATCAGTTTCCACTTACATTAAAATTAGATTCAGATCCAGTCTAGTTAACATAGGAATTAGACATTCAGTTTCATCGAATTTTGTACATTTGAAGATATGGAAGCTAGGTGTGGGAGAAAGAAAGGACTAAGGATAGATAGAAATAAGGAGAACAATAGTATAGAAGTTGTGGTGGAAGGAGAGGAGAGTGAAAAGTTGAGAATGGAGGATAGAGAGAAATATAGGTATGAGGTGGGTGAAAGTAAAAAGAAGAAGAGAAGAGTTAGAAGAAAAACAGAAAAATTGAGTATGAGAGAAGAAAAAAAGTTAAATATGAAAGCTGAGTAAAAAATATTATGTATGAGTAGAAAGATGAGAGAAGATTAAAGTATAGATATAAGGTAAAGTGACAGTGATAAAAATAAGAAAAGATCTGGGCATAGAGCAGAGGAAGTTGGGAGAGGAACACAATAGTTAAGAATGAAATAAGAAGAAAGTTGAAAATAGAAATTAAAGAGTATTAAGTATGAATGTTGAAAAGAAAATATTAAGTATGAAAAGAAAGAGAAGATAAGATTGAGAGAAAAAAACGTAAAATTTATTTAAGCCAATATAATTAGTTTAAGTTAATTTTACATAATTTTTTTTTTTAAGTTTTTGCTTAACCGAAAATGAAACTAAATATCTAATTTTTATGTTAATTAGACGGAAACGGCATCCGTTCAAATTATAAGTAGTTGATACAAGCTTATCTGTATTATAAGTGTTATTATTATTTTTTTAATTAAAATTAATATTTTATTTTAATAAAGTGTGTGAACTTTTTTAAGACTAGTATGCTCCCTTTTAATATTAACTTATATCATATAAATTATGAAGATGAAACTCAAATTTAAATTAAAAAATAACACTAAAATATTTACAGTATTGTACCTAAATTTACTCTTTTAATATACATGTAGGCTCTGTGATCAGATAATGAATAAAATTGAATCAATTGGAAATTTTTAAAAAAAAATTTTAGATACTTAACAATGGATAAAGTTTAATAAAATGAATTTTTTTTAAAAACGATAAAGAATGAAATGAAATACAATAATCGTCCCAGAAAATAAATGCTTTCTGTTAAAGCATATTTGAAAAACTTGCAATACACTTTAAACATGGCTCATCGATGATTCAACGTCAAATACTTCGAGCCAAAGGTAAATGATGCCATACAAGTTCGTATAAATAATTCACTAACATTGGCATATCGAGACAATTACAAAAGCATGTACTACGAAGGAAAAAAACATTGAATTAGCACGTGCAAAAGCTTTTTTAAAAAAAATATAAAAGACTCCAAGTCTCAGAGAAAATATTATTATAATAAGTAGTTACCTTTTGAGCCATTTAAAATATCTTAAAAAAGTTTGGTTATAGAAAATATTTATATTTTTTAACTGCAAAATAATCGTTTTATTTTCTATTTTAAAAATTTATGAAAAATATTAAAAGGTCTTTCCAAATGTTAATAAGTGCTTAAAAATATTAGTTAAATAATCAATCAAATTGTATTGCTTATTAGAAATCACATTAAAAATAATGAAAGTGAGATGTTTTTTGATAAAAATAAAAACATTTTCTAAAATCAAATAGTAGGTCAAATATTTTATATATTATATTTTCACACTTAAGTAATATTTATAAGCATAAATTTTTTTTTTATATGTTATGACTCATTGGATAAGACTAAATAATATATTTAAAGTAAAAATAAATCAATTGACTAAATTTTGCATTAAATTTATCCTTTCATCCTAATTTAAATGATTCAAATTGTGATTTTATTTAGTTTTACTAATTTTTGTCTTCTCATATAAATTCAAAAATACCTTAAATGCTTATAATATATTTTTAATAAAATTATAACATTACTATAATCCTTTTGAAATTTTAGTAAATAACATAAAAAACGAGTTATTTTATTTTATTTTTACTTTTTATACTTATAAATATTTCTAATTACTAAATAAGAAATTTATTAAATAATAATTATATATTTTTAAGATAATAAATATACACATTTTTTATTTAACATTTATTTTATAAAACAATAAATTTAAAAAATGTATTGGGTTTGGGTGCCCCAAAAACATGTCGAAATTGCATAATGGATGAAATTTTTCGAAGCAACAAAAATCCCATTGGAAAGAGGCAGGCACAGACAGAGCAGTCCAATGGGAGAGTGGAAGTGGAAAGCAAAAATTATTGGAACTTGCTTTTTGATTCTTATTTAATTGGAAAATTCTGAGCGGCAAGGAAGAGAAGAAACTTGTGAGACAGATAGTCAAGTGTAGTAGTAAAGTAAAACCAAATTATTACAAAGTTGTAACTAACCAAAGAGAAAGAGGGAGGGGACAGAAGGTTCGGTTCCAGATTTGGTGCCAAACCGCTAGTTTTGCCCATTCTGCCAGCTATGTAATGTAAGTCAAGTTAGCTGTCTCTCATTTCTTACGCTTCTCCTTTAACACCTCACTCTCACTCACTCACCTTTCCCTTTCCCTTTCCCTTTCTCAAACAATCCTTCCCTTCGCTGCTACTTCATCCATCACTCAGTACTCTATTCCTTACTTGATTCCGATTTTTTGTTTTGCTTTTTTTAATTATTATTGTTATTTTGTTTGCTTTTTTTTTTTTTAATCGTGTTTGTTAATGTTCTACTTTTTTTTTCCTGTATGTATTTCGGCATATGCACGTTATTTTCTTGTCTTTTTCTGTGTGCGATTCGATGCTTCCTCGATTCGATTCCTCCCTCATGCTCTCTGATTTTCTACTATCGAATTGAAGTTTCTGGAATTTTTCTTTTCCTTTGTTTTCTTGATTAATTTTGCGATGTTTCGTCTGTTCTCGATTACGACAGCGTTTTCTGTTGAGACGCTTATTTGTGAATGATTAGTGTGTGGTGTTTTATTGTTTACGAATAAATATTGTACGGTTGTTTAATTAGACCTGGCAGTGCACTATGGTTTTTTTTTTTTTTTTCCTTTGGTGATTAACAATTATTTCTGCTCTTTGTTTTTTTCAGATAAAATAACGAGTTCATTGAATTGAATTAGATGTGTCTTGAGACTGCTTTCATGACCTTGTTGCTCTCTCTCTTAGTTTTAAGATTAGATGAAGTGTTAGTGGTTGGCAATTGAGCCATATTAGCGTTTTCTGTTCTGTAGGATGAACTTGTGGTTGACCTTCCCCTCTTCTGGGTGGTGAGAACTGAGAAGTATCGATTAACAACTGGATTGGTTGCGCCGTATTCAGAGTGATTCTTTTAAATCATCTTTCCTTTCTAGGAGGTGAGACCGGTTGGTGAGGAAAACAAACATGCGGTAAGGTCAATTGCCTAAAACAAAAATAATTTCTTATTATGTGTAGTATTTCATTAGACTATTCGAATGTCTATTTTGTTACCTATAGAAATGATGTTTTCGCAAATTAACTAATAACAGAACTATTTATTTTCTCTTTGAAAAAAGAAGAGGAGGGACAAAAATATAAGGTAGGAGTGGGACATTATGTGTTTCCTCATTTTCCCTGTATAACTTTTGGTAAAAGTCAGTTTATCGATATAGAATTCTTGGGAAGAGTTCAGTTGAGTTAGAGTAAATTTCCTATTATTTTGTGTTCCCTTGGTTTTCTAAGTATGAACCTTGAAATGATTTAAATATTTGTTTGATTGAAATAGTATTTTGACAATTTTCTATTTCTGCATTATCCAAAGAATACATTATACTACTAAAATCCGGAAGAACTCCGAAATGCAGATGTATTTCATATTTTAATTCTCTTTATTAGTATTAATTTAACATTTAAATTTAACTGTTGAAAATTCAAAACCCAGTCATTAAACAATTGTTACTTAGATCCCTTAACTTGATTAGTAGTGTCTAGCTCTGCACAGTTTTTTCAAGTTTCCAAATAGTTTTTGATCAATAGCTATGTGGTCCTCTTTCTGTTGCATCAAGTTTAGCATAAGAACTGAACGGAATGAAACAAAACGATTTTGTTCTGCTTTTCCTTTTACTAAACAGAAAATAAAACACCTGTCTTCTTGTGGCATGTTCTAATGTGTCTATCAAACATACTCTTCCTTTTTCCTCATACAGGCTTAAGTTCATTGTTGTTTGGAAATGCCTTGTATTGCAATGAACTTGTTTCTATCGCTCTCTTAATTTGTTTTGTGCTGTTTATCTTTATTGGCTTTTACTATTGTTATTCAATTTTCACAGCTTAATGGTTTTGATGGTTCTGCACTGCAGAGATGAAGGTTGCTCACATGTTAATTGATTATTTTGGTTGGTGCCAGTAGAAATGGACTTTGTAGTTGTGCTGCTGCTATTAGGTTGCTTGTGTTCTTTGGTCTTGCCAGATCCGCAAGGTACAATCTGCTGTTCTTATTGCATTCAACCCATTTTGAAATGCATATAGGTTATGTAAAATTTAACTGCTAAATGCATATCATACACCATTTATTTTCTTACTCTGGGGACAAAATAAAACACAACTTTTCAAACTTAATTTCTTTTAAGCTACCCTACATCAACTAAGAATTGAATCAAAATACTTTTTATAAGGCTTGGGTGGTCCTTCTTTTAGCTAACTTTTAAGAGTAAATTAGACCTAGTTTTTTTTTATATAGAATTAGAGTCTACTTAGTTTGAATGTTAAGTCATCCATAGATATCCAGTCCTTCAAACTTCACGCATTTTATGTTCAGTCTTGGGTGTGTGTTGTGATGTTCGATATTGGCCAAAAATAAAGCAAAAATATTCCTTATAAGGTTTAGGTAATCCTTCTCCTTTGAGCTAGCTTTTGAGAGTTAGGTTTAGTTTTTCAATTATTTCCAATTCATTTATGAGTAGTACATAGATAATACACGTGTTTGTTACCAGAAGTGAATAAATGCCTACTTTTTTTTTTACTTCAAGATTGCAGTTGAAATATTATGGATTTGAAATATCTATACATTTCAGGTTTTGTGAAAGTTGTAGTTCCTTTTTAACTCTTAAGTTCATAACCTTAGTTCTAGTTGGTGTATAATGTTCTTTTTCATTTCAGGAGATGCACTATATGCATTGAAGATATCATTGAATGCTTCAGCTCACCAGCTTACTGACTGGAATCAAAATCAAGTGAACCCTTGTACTTGGTCACGTGTTTACTGTGACACAAACAACAATGTTGTTCAAGTGTAAGATATTCTTTATTAATTGTCTTTCTTTTTAATTATTTGATTTATTGAAGATCTTGGCTCTCATTTCTCATTACCTTCAATGTTTGTTGGAAATTATATGTGAATTTTATATCTTTAATTTGTGCATGCTGAGTAATTATATGAAAATCTATTTTTTATTGCAGGTCACTAGCGTTGATGGGATTCACAGGATACTTGACCCCGAGAATAGGAGTTCTAAAATATCTTTCAGCTCTGTAAGTGTTTATATCATGAAATGTCCACACAATTTTTGTCAAATTCATAATGCTAAATCTATTATTGGTATTCATCTCTCTCAATTTTAGATGGCTGGCTATTAAAACACAGTTACTTATGTTGTTATTGCATCCCCCTTTTCATTCATTTTTTTTCCGTGTTTTATTTACTACCTTTATCACTCTTGAATTATTGCATTCTAGTGTTATTATATATATTTGCTTTATATTTGACTCAAGTCTCAGTTGTTTTATATTTGCTTATTTTGGGACTTAAGCTTTTTAAATTGACTGTTTTATTTTCTGTGTTTGATGAACTGTAATTGTCATCTGCAGTGGACGTTGTGGTTTTGATGCATACACTTGTTAACTCTTCGTGTTTTATACATATGCTTTTATTACAATTAATTTGTTATTTTTGACTCATTATAATTGTTCATGAGTTAGCTGACTTCACCTAATGGCATAAGGCTTAGTTAATGTTTAAATTTAATTGTTCATGAGTTCATTCATGTTATATTGCAAACATTAACTTCTTAATGGGGGAGAGATTTGGTGTTACAGTTCATGCTTTTGTTTCATTATATACAATTTTGTTAACATTAGTCCTAAGGAGTATTGACTACTTAATAGAAATATTTTATTAGAAAAGAAAATATTTTTTTACATAAAAACAAAGAAGCATAATAATTGCTTTCTTTTGCAATAAAAATCATACTATTTTTTATTGTTGAAAATCAGCTTTAAGGGCTGGTGTTAATATTTTTCTATGTTTTCATGCAAATTTTTTTGTTAAATATTTACCATTAACAAAAGAAAAAAGGCGACATTTAAGTGTAACAATTGATGTATGTTATGCTTAAATTTTGCAGTTCTTTGCAAGGGAATGGCATCATTGGCGACATACCAAAAGAGTTAGGAAATCTGACAAGCTTGGTCAGGTTGGATTTGGAAAACAACAGATTAACTGGAGAAATACCATCTTCCCTTGGTAATCTCAAAAAGCTTCAATTCTTGTAAGTGTGGCATTCTGTTTGGTAGCATTTACAGATATAATGAGCCTTACTGTGCATTGTTATTGTATAATGCTTAGAAGTGTGTTTTTTGTCCTGTAACCAGGACATTGAGTCAAAACAATCTCAGTGGGACTATTCCTGAATCTCTTGCCAGTCTTTCAAGCTTGATCAATGTGTATGTGAAATAACAGTTTCTACAAGTCTGATGGTTATTTTTAAGGATATTTAATTAATTTTAGTATCTGACTGATTGTAAAACTTCTTTATTGCAGTCTGCTAGATTCAAATAATCTGAGTGGCCAAATTCCAGAGCAGTTATTTGAAGTACCTAAATACAAGTATGGATGGTAAAATTATTATATGATTTATTTAAAGCACCAGCGAATCTTGTCTTCCTATCCCTAACCCTGAGGATCATGTGTACCCATGAAACACTGGGAAAAGTGGTCACATACATCCGAAGATCCCAGATATAGAATTTCATTTAACAATGACTTACTTATTCCAATCTAGCAGCAGTAAATGATTCTGATGATTCCAATTTTACATTTGCATTTGAAGGATTGATAATCATATCATACTTTTGCTTCAACAAACTTAGTTAATATCTTGTAACTTGACTACTTATCATGTTTTCAATGTCTAGGATATAGGATTTATTGGACACAAACTCCTGTGTGATTAGTGCTCGTGAACTATGATTGTTGGGGGTGGATTTCGTGGGCTCGTTATTGAGGAACTGTAAAAAGATCGGGGGAGATATAAGGAATCAATCACCCTAAAAAGCTTAGGCTTTTACTAAAAATTTTAGAACCAGTGTTATTTGTATCTTCTAACTTGATCCTGAAGCATAGACAAGGACAACACCTTTGTCCTCTCATACTTTCTGCCACAAGTTGATTTAAAATGAGAATGTAGGAGTACTGAGGACTGAACCCTCAACCACTTGGTCATACTGGATTGAGTACATATTAAGGAACTTAATATCAAAAAGGGGCACAAGATATTAGTTACTGCACCAAAAATGGTTTTACTCACTTCTCTAACATCAAGCTTATCCTCAGTGACTAGATTTATGTAGTGAAGAACTTCAGGCACCAAATATGAGAAATAATGATAAAAAAATGCTTCCTCATATTGTTTCGTGATGGTTAAAAAGCAGAGGTTTTATGTCATATAACACTGAAAAAGGTTTTGTTCCCAATTTTATCCAGTGTGACCATATGCAATGATTTCTATGGAATCTTTGGATAGAATATTTGAATTTAAGACGTGAGATGTTATACCCTATTTTTAATATATATTATACCATTACATTCCACTATTTTAATTTTGCTCCATATTGCAGTTTCACGGGAAATAAGTTGAATTGTGGTGTGAACTACCGTCAACCTTGTGCATCAGATAATGCAGATCAAGGTTACTTGATTGGAATATTTATTTGGTTCTTTTTTTTAATGTGTTGTTTCTTTTTCCTCGCTCCCTTTTCTTGGCTTCATGCTAAAAATTAACTTGCCTACCCATTGCAGGTTCATTACACAAACCAAAAATTGGGATCATAGTTGGAATTATTATAGGGTTAGTTGTTATCCTTTTCCTTGGTGGTCTGCTGTCCTTTTGGTTGAAGCGTAGACACAATGACTACAAGCGTGAAGTTTTTGTAGATGTTGCAGGTTTGAGTTTCTTGTTTAGATTTCAATGTTATTGCATGAGGCTTCTCTTAATTGAAGTAGTGGATACAGATGTTAATATGTTTGTAGTTGTAGAACAATGTTGATCTGGAAACTCTACCTATGCATTCAGTTTCAAAATATTCAATACTGTAAATTTATGAGTTCATATGGTATTTTTAGTACTCTTAGTTTTTCTATTATTTTGCTTCTTGTATTGCCAATATGTTATGATCATGGTTTTCCCTCTTTTTGGTGTCCTCACCTCCTATGGTCGACTGGATCTAATGGCTAGATGATAGGTATCTAACACCAACCTTGGGCCTCCACCTCATATGTTAAGTGGTTGGATAATTGGTCCTTACAACTATGGAATATACCCATCTCATTCACTCTAAACCTTTCATGTACAATGAATGTGGGATATAATCAAATTTTGTGGTAATAGAAGAGAATTTACTGATGGGACCTATTCTGTGATGCTTTAATTGTGAATGCTTGTTGAAATAGTGTACTAGCTGCATCAAAATTGAGATTGATATGAACTTTAGCCTTTCTAACAATTGTTAACGCTGACTATCTATTCTAACATTATTATTTTTTTTGTTTCATCAGGGGAAGTTGATCGGCGAATTGCATTTGGTCAACTAAAAAGATTTGCATGGAGAGAACTACAGATAGCTACAGACAACTTCAGTGAGAAAAATGTTTTAGGACAGGGAGGCTTTGGAAAGGTTTATAAAGGTGTTCTTGCTGATAACACAAAAGTTGCTGTCAAAAGGTTAACGGATTATGAAAGTCCTGGGGGAGATGCAGCTTTCCAGCGTGAAGTTGAGATGATAAGTGTAGCTGTGCATAGGAACCTGTTACGGCTGATTGGGTTTTGTACTACTCCAACGGAGCGCCTTTTAGTGTATCCCTTCATGCAGAACTTAAGTGTTGCTTATCGACTACGAGGTATTAAGTTACAATGCATGTTGGTATGACTGTAATGCGAAGTATTCAATTTGATTTGCTACAAAAGTGAAAGTATTATTTATTTTGTAACTTGAACTGGATGGCCATTCAGATTGTTGAATATTATAACGGTAAAATCTTATTTTAAACATTTCTAGAAATTAATTGGTGAAGAAAACATTCAAATATTTAAAGCACACATTTTAGGATACATCTCAACAATTTTAATATTTATCCAACAACTTATAGCAATGGTTTTAAAAAACAATTTAGCTGGAGAACTAAAGTAAAGTTTAGTTGTAATTGAACCAGATAAGTCATAATACATTTAAATTTAGTCAGAGAAATTACATCAATAATATATACAAATATACATATATGTGTGTTAATTGTTGGTAAGCAGAAGGTTCAAATTGGCAGAGAAGAAAATAACATCAAAGAATTAGAGAACCTTATTTTATTTTCCTTTATTTTTTTATTTGTATAGTTTTACATTCATATAACCGGAAATCCACAAGCCATCGAAGAGGTTGAGAATCAAACCCATATCTTGAGTTGACTTTTGACCCATTCAAGCCCCAATTTTAGTTTTACAGAACCAGTTTTTTGAAGCAGTCTAGCTCTCCTGTTTTCGTAGGTTTTCTCTGGCTCTAGGGTAGTTTTACTGTTCAACCCTAACTATGTGGGCCAATGTTGATGGTTGAATGTCGTAGTTTTAGTTCATTTACTATAAATTGTTATTTGCGAGAGAATGGGAAATAAAATAAGATGGGAAGTTGAATCAGATGTGTGTTTTGTCACTAACACTGTCATCTTGGAGTCTGGTACTTTTTAAATATTCAGCTTTATATGCTACCTTTACATCTTAAATGCATAATTAACATCACTTTAAACAATTATATCTATATAAACAATTTGATTATCCTATGTGTGGATAGATTGTATCCCCATAATTGCTCTGTCTGCTTGTAAAATTTTGGCATCTTTTCCAGTGATATTTTATCATATGAATACTGATGTAGAACTCAAACCTGGGGAACCTGTTTTGGATTGGCCTACAAGAAAACGAGTGGCTCTGGGTACAGCCCGAGGGCTAGAATATCTTCATGAGCATTGCAACCCTAAGATTATTCATCGGGACGTGAAGGCAGCTAATGTATTACTAGATGAAGATTTTGAGGCAGTTGTTGGTGACTTCGGTTTAGCAAAGTTAGTTGATGTTCGAAAAACTAATGTGACGACTCAAGTTCGTGGGACAATGGGCCACATAGCTCCAGAATATTTGTCCACTGGAAAGTCTTCAGAAAGGACTGATGTTTTTGGTTATGGGATTATGCTTTTGGAGCTTGTTACAGGTCAACGAGCGATTGACTTTTCCCGTTTAGAAGAGGAAGACGATGTGCTATTACTTGATCATGTAAGATCTCTTTTAAATATCGTACCTTCCTTGTTTACCCATGTCTTGGTGTCTGTTGTTTGTGTAGCATGCTTGGAACTTGTGTATGCCTCTTGGGTGGTTTGGTGAATGGTGACGTCAATTTTTTAAATTTCATCACGTATGCAAGGATTAGGCATCACGGCTCTCCGCCTGAAAAGGCCATCCTAACCTTAGGCTAAAACATATATGACAGGATAGGAGTAATGGTTGCGGTGAGCCAAGGAATTTCATGTAGTTTAATTCTACCTCTGCATTTTTACAAGCTGGAAAAAAAGTTGAAATCAGTACTTTTGGCATTTTAGGGAACAAGTGTTTTATTTATAAAGAAAAGGTGAACTACAGTGTTTCGTAGAATTCTGTCTTTGCATTCATGAAGTGCCTGTGCTTGTCATTTCTAAAAAGAAGTACGATTTATCTGTTTTTATTGGTTAGTTACTGTTTTTGCTATATTTTTTGCTCTACAGGTTAAGAAATTAGAACGAGAGAAAAGATTAGATGCTATTGTTGACCGCAACCTAATTAAAAATTACAACATACAAGAAGTAGAAATGATGATACAAGTTGCATTACTCTGCACACAAGCAACGCCAGAAGACCGTCCCTTGATGTCTGAGGTTGTAAGAATGCTAGAAGGAGAAGGGTTGGCTGAAAGGTGGGAGGAGTGGCAGCATGTAGAGGTCAATCGGAGGCAAGAATATGAGAGATTGCAGCGAAGATTTGACTGGGGAGAAGATTCAGTCTACAATCAAGATGCCATTGAGTTGTCTGGAGGGAGATGAGAGGATCTGTAAATTTGAATCCTTTTATGTATCCCAATATCCTTTTTTGATGGGTTAAGTCTGAATAGAAATGCATTCTTTTTCTTGTTTTTCCAACTGTAAAAAAGGGGGTGGTGGAATAGTTATAATTTCGATTTTCCGACGGTTTGTGTGAACCTTTTTAAGTAATACAGGAATTCATTGGAAAAATATGCTTGATGAACTTTTAGTCGTGATCCCATTACTGGGTCTGAATCAAAATCTTCCTGGTGCGGTAGCAGCTTCTGCTAGAACGCTTAGTACATTGGCGTAGAACTTCACATATTCTTAACAAGAATATTAACGGCTAAAACAAGAACCGGCAACATAATTTGCCGATATTTCTTATAAAGTTTCTTCGTGGATTTTTCCCTCAGTAGTTGGCAATCAAACTGGCCAATGATTGGCAGACTTCATTACCTAATCCTATTGCAAAGTTTATGAGGATATTCGACAGTTAGATATTTTATTTTCTTTGTTCTTTTTCTTTCCGTGACAAATACAAGTTAGGCTATATTTGGTATAATTAGCCCAAAAATTAGTCAAAAGTTGAAACTCATACTAGTTTTTTGAATTAAAAGTGTTCGATGAAATTAATTATTAAATTAATTGATAAAGATAAAATGACCTAAGAGAACATGTTTATATGATATGTATAATTTTTAATTTTGTAGAAAAAAATATTTTAGGTAATTATAATCTTGAGCTTATCAATTTGTTTTAAACTCTTATCTCTTATTTGTTTATAAATCAAATATTGTATTATGAATTAAAATAAATAGTGTAAATAATATAATATTAAAAATAGTATAATAATAATAATAATAATATTTATTATTATTATTATTATTATTATCAACGTTGTATTTTATTTGTTATGGTCAAATGAGCTATAAGCTAGTTAAAAGTCTTGTGAAACACACTTAATGAGTCTTAAAATTTATGGGAAAAAGTTAATTTTTAAATAACCAAAAGTAATAAGACATTGGGAAAAAAATAAAATATTTATTACTTCTATTTTTATATATAAATATTTTTTCATAAAAAAATTACTAATTTTAAATATTTAAATTTATCCTTAGGTGCTGATATCAGCAAAATTAAAATTTATATGGATCACAATCCTCAGCAATCAAAGAATTAATTACTCTCTCCATACCCTTTTTAATTAGACATTTTAGTAATTATTGTTATTTTATTTCAATTGTTGTTTTATAATATCAATATTTTTTTGAATTTTTCCCTAATAAAGAATTAATGTGGTTTTTTTAGAGAAACTGGTTAATATGAGGGACAAGGGATGAAAAATTGTTTAACAATTTTCATGAAAATTAGAACATGATTATTTATCTGTCTTTTTACAACTTTAAACGCCAAAGGAGATGGAGGGAATATAAAGAAACTCAATATTTGATTTAGTTTTTTGATAAAATAATAATGAAAGACACAAATTTGAGAATCACCGCTACTATAACTAAACTGCATTTGGTGCAGTTATATATTTACCTCAAGAGGATGTATTTCTTTATCTTTATACATGTATCGGTGTACACGCTCTCCCTCTTTTTATTTACCAGGTAATTTTGGGACCCCAGATGATGATGATGATGCAACATAATTGGTCCTATCCTTAAGCTTCAACCTTGTTAGGAATAAACATATAGTATAACACCTCACATTATTAATATTGCTGTCTATCTACTAGGACGTGAATTCCTCTGCATATATTCACTCATGATCATGCATAATGTTACAAGTGTTCTCAGCATTGTTTTTATTGACCCCATGCATTTTGGTCTCCTCGTTTCACCACTTCTATCTAGCTTTTCTTGATTATCTGTGAAGGTGACATAAAATTCTTCGTTGTAATATTCTCCAGCCAGTAAATGGGGTGGTGGATTTTGCTCCGAATCTCTACGTTCCCATTCTTCAGTATTCATCGCAAATTGAACATTACTAACTCCTGCCATCGCCAAAGCCTCCAAGGAAATCAACATTAATTGTCACTGCACTAGAAACAAATTGTTGTTGCTTACTAAGAATGTTGCGCCTCAAGTTGCTTAAAGATGTTGAATTGTTTTGGTTGTGAGGTTGTATATGCATGACAATTTATATAGATGAGAACCGTTAATATATGATACGGGCAGAGACGCAATTTGTGACCTCAATACAATGCACGTGGTTGTATAAAAATCAAATCAGGTGCGGAATATAGCCAGTAAGTCAAGCTTCAAGTTTGATTTTTTTCTTGTGAATCACATGACACACATGATGTTAAGCTGAGAAGAAACGTAGGGATGGACGATTGAGCCAGTGCGGCAAAATTGATCCATTCCTGACCTCAAATTTATCTCTCAATATGAATTCGAGATACTAGGATCCATGGCTATCATGAACATCTTGAGAGTGTAGCGCTGTAACCTTTGACAAATTTCTAATACGTAATTAAGTTTTAATGTCTGAAGTTAATTTAATCCGTGGGTTATTGATATGTATAAACTCATAACTCACGAGTATCGTTTCCTAAATCAGATAACATCGTGTTCTAGGTGATACCATATATGTGGCAAGTTTATAAAAATTTTGATATATGAAACGCTGAATTAAACCAACTAAATAATAAGAGGTTTTCACTTTCTTCTTTTGCATGCATACTTGAATCAAATAAAATATTTACAGTATTCTAAGTGTGGAATTTTTCAGAATACAAGACTCCAGTTCCTGCCCTTCTCTCACCTTAAGCGAAGTACAATAATTTTTTCTGTTGAAATATGAACAAATACAACAGAAAATATGTTAATGGAACAAGATCCGGTTCCCAACTTATATATGGCCCAAAATATAAAAACCCATTTTACCATTTTCTTGGTTTATTTATTCACTTGAAATCAATTCCAGTTCCACAAAGTTCCTATATGCACATACGTTGCAACTCCATGCTAAATACTCATGCTTTGATTCAATGATATTGATACACTTTATTGCCATATTATGTATTTATAAAACAGAAATTTAGTATCATAATCATCATGTATTTATGTATGTGTTGTGTGTATATATATATATATCTTTGCCAAGTGAGCTTTGGCAGTATGCCATTTCCGCCGGCTGCACCGAGCAAAAACAGTGGAATGACTTTGCTGGCAAACGCGTGGACCAGCTCACCAGCACCCAAAAGAGTGATCGGAACGCGCCTACCAGAATATACATGTACTCTGTTTAAAAATACGTTTTTAACACTTGTTTTTACATTATAATATACTAACCTTGTAATTTAATTATTTTTAAAATTATTTTAATTATGTTTAAAATTATTTTTAAATTTATTTTTCCATATTTTTTTTGTATTCACAATTGTGAGAATAAATGTATTTTTACCCTTTTTTAAAAAATTAATAAAAAAATACTTTTAGTTCCTTAATTAATGTGTTAAAGACATTCGTTAACAGATTTTCATAAAAAAATATCTTAATCTGCACGTCTTCTTTTATTAACAAATTTGATAATTTAAAAACATAAATATTTATTCTTGTATGAAATAGTGTAAAAGATGTTTTAACCTTTTCTTAAAAATTACATCAGAAACGTGTGACAAATCTCTTTAGATTAATTAGAAAAACAGAGTTCCCATTGAAACTGCGTCAAACTAAGAGTGGGAAAAATCCCAAGGTTCCTCTTGCAAAGAGTTGTTTTGAAAGGAACCAAACCCAAACCCAAACTCAAACTCAAACTCATCCAAACCATCAAAGAACCCTTCAGGTAACTCATCCACACAATCATCACTTTCCTTCATTACTTCCTTTTCTTTATCCTCTTCAAGCGCAGGCAAATGCCCTTCGAAGAGTGCCACGTGTCCGAACAACTTCTCCTTTCTGGAAAACGTGGTTCCGCAAGAGCACTTCCACGTGGACTCACCCCGACACTGCTTCACGTGGCTCTTAAAGTCCGAAAGCACCGCAAAGCTCTTCTTCCGACACCGATCACACGACAGCGTTTTGGGACAATGGCTCCTCTTAAAATGGTTCCTCAAACACAACACCGACTTCAAGGGCCTGAACTTCTTATGTAACCTGTTACGGTTGCAACCCTCAAAGGGACACGAAAACCGCGTCGCCTTAAAGCGCGTGTCCCCACACGCCTTCTTTGCCAACGCTTCCGGGGTCTTGAACTCGTCCCCGTGTGCGCGCATGTGCATTCGCAGGTTCGCGTCGCGCGTGAAGCCTTTCCCGCAAACCTCGCAGAAGTGAAGGTGCGTGGCCAGCAGCTCCACGGCGTCGAGTTCGACCACGGTTTCGCCGTCGTGGAGTTTCGAAGAGTCCAACGTCGGAGAAGAAACGGTTTCGGAGGCGGCGAGAATGGCGGCGGCGTTGGTGATGACGTTGCGCGTGGCGGTTACGATCTCGTTGGAGAGCGTGGTCATTTGGTGGTGAGTGAGGAGAGTGTGGGATTTGATGGATTGGGAGATGAAGGTTTGAAGGGAATCCATTCGGGTGTTGAGTTGGGAGAGATTGTGAAGAATGGGTTGGATGGTGTCACTGTTATTTGGCATATTGTGTTGTGTGTTGTGTGTTGCGTGAGAGTGATGAGCGGTTTCATGTGTTGCAAGAAACACCCTTTTATATATGAAAATGGTTTTACCCAAACTTGAAAATATCTGGCCACGTGTTCATTTGGTAATAATGTCAATTAACACAAAAAGCGCTGCTATTACACGTTTTTTTGACCTTTTTAGTATTTTATTATTTAATAAATTTTACGTAAGTGTTGCTAAAAGAATTTAATCTGTTTCTCATGCAATTGTCTATAAATTTTCCCACACAAATTAATTTATTAGAGTAAACCATCAATTTATGATTAACATTATGTGCGTTTATTAAAATAGGCTATATGTTAAAAAATAAGTAAATTATAGTAAACTACCAACTGTGCAATGCCATCAACAATTAGAAAATTATCTTGAGGTTTGAGTTTAATATTTATAGGTAAATTAAGATAGATAATACAATAATCAAGTAGTCTATCAAGAATTTATTTTTGTATAATAAAGTGATGTACTATTTTTTGTCAATTTTTTTTTATTTTAATGTTCAAATAATCTTAAACATAAAAAAAGTCTAATTTATAATATTTAATATAAATTTAACTAAATCGTTAAATTTATCCATAATGTTCACTCTATACATTAAATTAGTCTATAACATATCTTTGTTTTAATACATTAAATGAATCTTTGAAAGCTATTTAATATGATACTTAGATATTCATGTCACAAAATAACATGCGTGTGTTTTGTTTAATTATATATATATATATATATATATATATACACACACAATATAATTATAATATTATACATAATGTTTTTAATTTTTATTCTCAACATTTTATATGTTTGTCAAATTAATCTTTAAATTCAAAAAGTAATAAATTTAAAATAAAATATAATATCTTTTTTTCAGTCGCTACCAATATATATATATATATATACTTAAAACATATCTAAAAAATTTTACAAAGAACATTTTCATTTGCCTGCTGGGACAAAGAACTTATAATCATAAGTATCTTACAAACTTGTTATTCGATGGCTTTCAATCATGCGATTTTGAGAGGAATGTTATAAATATAAATCTATTTTATTAATTTTACTCTAAAAGTATATTTAAATGGCTTTCTCTTCCTTTTCAATTAATGGTTTAATTAATCACACAAAAAGGTAAATTCGTCCAAAATTCGAACTGTATATGTAATGCTAATAACATTACCATACAAATGTACATGGCTCATTACTTCCATTTACAATGCGATGCTCGCTTAAATTTATATTTACTCATATATTTCTATACAAATTTTACGTAATTTATTATGTTAATCATATTATGCATATCTCATATTTTTAGTAATTGTTTTCTTTTCCACAATGTTTAGTGTTTATTTACTCTGTTTGCAAAATTAAAAATAATTTTCAAAGTGAAATCATTAGTTAAAACTGAACGAACATTAATTTAGGAATACATTATATGGCAATAAGTTTTTCTTTTTATTATGCCCAAATTGATCCATTCTAATGATTTTTCAAACGGAATTTTGGGAATTTTTTGGAAACAAGGGTCAATCTCTTCTCAGATAACTCCTTGGTTAACATAGTTTATGTCTCGATTTACACTTTAATGAATGTGTTAAATAACATGACAGAGAAAAAAAAAATACAAAAGAAAGTTAAATTCATTAATATATTTGTTAATGGTGACGAAATTAATTGAGACCTAGCGGCGGCAAGACAGGTTAACGCACCGTCTTATTTAGCTATGTAAATTGCTTATTAGAGCTTTAAAAGTAAACTTTTTATATTAAAAATATTATAAATACTAATTAAAAAAAACTAAACAGTCTGACACAAGTTTTACTGCAAAGCTTTTTTTTTTAATTAATGTCCTAAAAACATTAATTAACAATACCTTTTAACTATAATTTTTTAATGCATGATTAAATTTTTAATATACTTTATTAAAATTTAAATTATCATAAAAATTATTTATAATTTATAATTTAATACAATAATATTTTATTTTTAATAAAAATAATTAACATGAATCATTGAATATACATTAAAAAATTATCTAACTATAGCAAAAAATAAAATATTATCTAACTATTATTAAATAAGTATTAATGAGCTTATGTTTTATATAATTAAAAAATAAATAATTTTATAGCAAAGATAAATAAATAATTTTACATAATTTTTTGTAAAAAAATATTTCAGGTAGTTTTAGTTTGTTTAAACAGAAACAAATTATAGATATAAAAAATTTCAACTATTCTACTATAATTACTCAATAATTAATTTAATTTATCTTCTATTGCTGATTTTTTCCATTTAAACTATTTAATTAGTGTAAATATTATATATATATATATATATATATATATAATAAATGGTATTAGTAAAAAAATTAATTAATATTATCTTGAACTATGATAAATAAAAGTATTTTTTGTATTTATTCTAATAAATAAATGAAAACAAAGGTAATCTGATAAAAAATAAATTTTTAAATATATGCTTAAAGACGTATAGTAAAAAAAATAATATTTTTAATAAAAAAAGTGAAAAATCAACATAATTCCTTAGAGATAATTTTAAATATACAAAATTAATAATATTTTACTAAAAGTATAATTTTTTATTTTATTTAAAATTTTTCTTGAAAGTTAATATTAATAAAATAATTAAAAACAAATTTGGATAAAGCTTATTAGCATAGGCTTGTAACATTTTGCTCTGAAAAAGTATGTTAAATATGATATCATAAAAAAAAGTGACTAAATGAGAGAAAAAGTTTTATTATATTTTTTATTTTATTAATTATAGTCACTAAAATTGAAATATATATATATATATATATATATATATTATTTTTTATTTCATTATAATAGTTATTATTCTAATTAATTATGTTAATTTAATTTTTTTTAAAGGCGACCGTAAAATACAAGCAAATATTTTTTATATTATTTTTAAATATGTTATTCTTGATAAATGTTGAATAGGTATTAATTTTAGTTAATAAAAAATTATTATTTTCAATTCTTAAAGATGAATTTAATTTAAAAATAAATTGTTATTAACAAAAGTTTATTTATTATATTATATTTTTATTTTTGAATCCTGTTATGGCGGCTAGCAGCCATGTATGAATTCATGGCGCGTTAAGAATTATAGCTTTAAGATTCTTTGGAATGTAACGTTCTCATACGATATCAATAATTTATATTTATCTCAATTATCGCATTCACCACTATCTATGCATGTCACATCATGCCATTGCCTCTTTCCAACACACGCTTTTTTTTTTTTTTGGGGATATATTTCTAACGAAATTAGTTTTACGTTTAAATATACATGATTTAAGCTTTTTTTATTTTATTAACTATAATTTTAATATTATATTTACTTTTAATTTTTTCAATATATTTTCAATCATACCGTTCATAACAAATAATTATTTTCTAAAATTCAAAAGAAATTTTTTTATAATTTATTTTATTAGTTTTAATTATTATTTAGTTAGAGTTTATAATGATTTATTTAATAATAAAAAACACAAGTTCAAAAGAATGTGCTAAAATAGTATTGATAATTTATTTTTTAATCTATTTTTTTATACGTGTAGATTTTATTTAATAAATTTTTTATTAATATATATTATGCGATTACATTAACTAATGTTATATTATATTAATAAATAATGATATAGATAATTATTATAGTATATTATCAACTATTTTATTAGCGTAATGTATATTATTATCAATGTAAACTTATAATGATTATATTAATATTTTTTTAAATGAGTCTCGAATAAAAAGTAGAAATTATTTCTTTATTTGATTAAAATTATAAAATATTCAGTATATTCTAAAACGCAGTATGATTGCAATTTTTTTAGAATTTATTTAAAATAGCTTTTCAAAATAAAATTAAAATAATTTATTGCTCAGAAACTTTTAAAAACTTGTATAAATATATTAAAAATTATTAGTAATTTTTAAAATAAAAAATGATTTTCATTAAAAAAAAATTAACAAACGAACTCTTTATATAAGTTAATTGTCAGCATTTTTTGGCCGTTCTAATGTCACTTTTTTTCCAATCATACTTTATAATTTTTATTAGTTTAATCAATAATAGTGTTGTAAAATCGAAATGATCAAAATTAGAGTAATAGTAAGTCTTTAAAAAATATTATAGACACTCTTACGTTGACTTTTGTGCATAATCTGTATAATTAAATTTTAATTTTTTAAAAAATAACCAAAATACATTAATAATATATATATTTTTATTTTTAAAATATTAATATTTATTAAAAATAAATTTAAACTACAAAAAATACTCTAATTTTTTAATACTCTAAAAAGAGTTAACAATAAATATTAAAAAATCATTAATCTAATATATTTATCCAATCAATTTTTTCAAAAGCTTTACTGAAAATCACTTTTAAAAAGATATTTAATAGAAATAAAATATTAATATTATACAATTATAAATTATTAAATTAATACGTTTTAAATTTTATATTTATTATATATTTTAATTAATTAATAATATAATATTTTTATGCTGACAATGAATTAAAATAAGTTTTAATTTAATTCAAAAGTAAGACAACATGCATTGCCTTGTGCTATAAAATATATTATTGACGAAACCTCAAAGTTCAAAACCAAGTTGAAGACTTGCTTTGCACTTAGTTGGTCGTAACGGACGGCCTACTTTTGCCTCTTTCTTCCTCCTTTTTGGAAGATAAAAGAAAGAAAGTGATACCCCAAATAAATAATATAATATAACAAAATAAAAAATAAGAGATGTTAAAGTAAGTAACAATACTGATAGAATGTTAATAAACTATTTTATTTTTCAAACTAATATTAAATGTTAAATGGATCGAGGTGCATGTATTCATCTACCAAGAAACGGGGAGCTATTTCCAAAATAGAGCACGTGTTTTTGTTTAATTAAATATGAAATGTTCAGTAAAA